GGTACAGGATAACTCCTTTTTTGGGGTTATTTTAACTCCTCAATATCTGGGGTCACTTTTACTCCTGAAAAAGAGTTCTTTAAACTCCTTTTTGGAGTTAAAGTAACTCCACGAAAAATAACTCCACTGTAACGAGTTAAATTCGCCCCACTAGAGGAGTTATTATAACTCCCTGAAAATTACAGTGCAGACCAAAGCCAATCGTTTCGCTCTCTTGCTCGCGCGAGCCATTGTTGACAAGGCTGCGAATTACGCGAGACACCAAAAGTAACTACGTCATCATTGGATCGTTCTGGCTGCGAACTAAGCCATGGACCATTTATACGAGCGGTTCGCGTCTTATGTAAACCGTGCTCGTAAAAATGGTTCCTTTCGCGTCTGCCGTAAGTAGGGCCAGAGTGAGCCGAGGCTTATTTTCTCTCTCATAAACGGCACTATTATCATCTGTTGTTAGTTTTCACTTTCACACCATCAAAAAATAAAGATCAAAACTGTTAAAAAGATAAAGTCCAGAACCTTGGAAATGAAAGGAGATAAATATCCTATGATCCTCACCAAGATTCAGGTCAGTGCAATATTTCATATGCGAGATATTCGCAGAAATTATTTGGCCAAATTTGTCTGATGGCTGATGGACCCAATTTCAGCCTTCCATCTTCCATCCCCGAAAAGGGTCTACGCCGATATAAACTTTTCATTTTGTTCTTTCTTATTCAGATGTCTGATAATCGCCGTGAGGGAAAGAAACTAACCGTTAGCTCCAGAAAGCCAAAGCAACCGTAAACTCTAAAGTCAAAATGCCCACGGGAATAAGAATGTTTCAGTGTCATCTTTCCTTTTACGATGAATTGCTGCACTGATCTTAAGTTTTTTTTTTTACTTTCAGGTAAAATGTAGTTTAGAATACGATGCTTTATCACTAGGTTGGCTTAGAAAATCGAAGAAAATCCCCAAGCAAAACCAGTTATTTTAAGCAAGTTTTCAAAGTTCTTATAATAAGGGGGACAGCTTAGTTGATCAAACGTTGATTTCAAAGGAATTGGATAATTGTAGAACAATTCAAGGCAAATCCGTAAAAAAACAGAAGACAAACGTTAAAACGGCCACTAACAGACAATCATTTCAGCCGTATTCTAACTGGGTGGCCATTGTTGTTATAAATTGGCTAGAGAGGCTCTGCGTGAGCTACAGAGGCAGCTCGGGTTGACTGGTGTTAGAACAAAGGAGATTGGAACTAAACTAAATACGAGGCTAAAGTCATTCTTTGAATTACGGTATTTTTAGGAAAAGCCACTGCATGTGCAATTCGCGTTGACTGGTGTTAGAACAAAGGAGATTGGAACTAAACTAAATACGAGGCTAAAGTCATTCTTTGAATTACGGTATTTTTAGGAAAAGCCACTGCATGTGCAATTCGCGTTGACTGGTGTTAGAACAAAGGAGATTGGAACTAAACTAAATACGAGGCTAAAGTCATTCTTTGAATTACGGTATTTTTAGGAAAAGCCACTGCATGTGCAATTCGCGTTGACTGGTGTTAGAACAAAGGAGATTGGAACTAAACTAAATACGAGGCTAAAGTCATTCTTTGAATTACGGTATTTTTAGGAAAAGCCACTGCATGTGCAATTCGCGTTGACTGGTGTTAGAACAAAGGAGATTGGAACTAAACTAAATACGAGGCTAAAGTCATTCTTTGAATTACGGTATTTTTAGGAAAAGCCACTGCATGTGCAATTCGCGTTGACTGGTGTTAGAACAAAGGAGATTGGAACTAAACTAAATACGAGGCTAAAGTCATTCTTTGAATTACGGTATTTTTAGGAAAAGCCACTGCATGTGCAATTCGCGTTGACTGGTGTTAGAACAAAGGAGATTGGAACTAAACTAAATACGAGGCTAAAGTCATTCTTTGAATTACGGTATTTTTAGGAAAAGCCACTGCATGTGCAATTCGCGTTGACTGGTGTTAGAACAAAGGAGATTGGAACTAAACTAAATACGAGGCTAAAGTCATTCTTTGAATTACGGTATTTTTAGGAAAAGCCACTGCATGTGCAATTCGCGTTGACTGGTGTTAGAACAAAGGAGATTGGAACTAAACTAAATACGAGGCTAAAGTCATTCTTTGAATTACGGTATTTTTAGGAAAAGCCACTGCATGTGCAATTCGCGTTGACTGGTGTTAGAACAAAGGAGAATGGAACTAAACTAAATACGAGGCTAAAGTCATTCTTTGAAATACGGTATTTTTAGGAAAAGCCACTGCATGTGCAATTCGCGTTGACTGGTGTTAGAACAAAGGAGATTGGAAATAAACTAAATACGAGGCTAAAGTCATTCTTTGAATTACGGTATTTTTAGGAAACGCCACTGCATGTCCAGCTCACGTTGCGAGTACATTGGAAGCATGATATAAAAAAAGTTCCAAGGGACGGCTGAGGTAGTTTAAATCGGAGTCCAAAACAATTCACTTTACTGCAGTTAGGGAGGGGAGAGGAGGGGAGGGGAGGGGAGGGGAGGAGGTATTTTCATTTATTATATCCGAGTTTCGTGTATACAGGGGGTAGTTTACAACGGAGCTAAGGTTTCACTGTAATAACGAACAATGACATTAAAATAATTTACAAACTTTTCCTGAATACTACGCTAAACGGCAGCACTGTAAAAAATAAATGTATTTTTATGAAAGACCTATGTAGACATAATTGACAGTGCACGTCAGACGGTCCATGTGTTGGCAAACTAAAATCGACATCTACTCGATATCATTTGAACCGTTCTTGTAGAATCACGTGCATTGTTTTGCTTCTTCAATCACTATTTGCCCAATTTTCTTTTTTTGCGGTTCATTGCGTTAGTTTCCGCTTGCTGGTTAGATAGCATGTGCTCTATTTCTTTCACCTTACGCATTCGCTCTGCGTCCCTAGAAAATAAAAAAGACAGTATTTAATTGCATGTGATAATAAAGTAGAAATAAAAAGAAGAATGGATTCAAAAGGATTGAGGTTATGTCATTCTTTTTCAGACACAATCAACCAGCATTCCTTAAACTCCCGTTCTATTTCAATACTTGCCTGACTTCTCTACTTTTCACTTACTTTTCTAGCTGTTCTTGCAGTTTTTGTTTGGCCAGGAACTTGTTGTCTTTTCTTATTTCTCGTATAGCACCCTAGCGAGTCACAAGAAGACAGAAACTGAAAACGACATTGTCGTACATGGGACATCCCTTGAAGGATGCGAAGGTTATGATTGAGAAGTGTAAACCCTATGACCGGCACACTGGCTTTGCTCTTACGTGGACAGAGTATTTTTGTTGAGAAAACTTTCGAGTTTAAAAGTTTTGGGAAAGACAATCAAATTGAATGAATGTAGACCAATGTTTTTTAGTCCATTATATTATTTGCTTCCTTGTCACCGTCTACAGAAACACTGTTCGGATAAAATTGTTGGCCAAAGTGAATTCCTGACATATTTACTGGAAAGAGGGCCTCTTTAAATAAGCACCACATTTGGAAATTATTTCTCAGCGCGCTCGCTTAACAGCAATTCAGCGATTACTGATTTTTTTTTTATTTTGACAATAACTGAGGGATTTCTCGCTCGCTGATTGGTCAAAGGTTATGGTCCAGGAGAGTTTAAACCATGGAAATGACGTCATAATAGCGCAATTTTCTTTTCTGTCTTTCAAACGCGATTTTCTAAAAAAGTTCACCCGACATGGATAGTAAAAAACTATCAATGTTATTGAAAGATAAATAAATAAATAAAACAAAAAGAAAAAGAAAAAAAACTCCCAGGTCTGCACTATAGTATAGACACAGAAATGACGTTAAAATGTTCACAGCTTTGGAGGTACGAAATTTCTCTTCTCGCGCGGAGAAATATTTTATACTACAAGAAATTTCGTATCTTCGCCAGTTTATAGCCAAAGGAAAAATATAGTCCAACCTTAAACTCCTTCTTGTACTTGTATCTCAGTTTCTGTTTTTCGTTTGATGCCTTGTTCCCTGCTCCGCGTCTTGATCGGACTTCGTAACTTCAAAACGGACGAAAACAAATGGTTTATTAGAGGAAATTATTTAACCTTTGCACAGCTAGTTGACAACTAGCTGTCCTTTGTGGCGCAACCGATTTTTAAAACGATCACGTCTTCATCAGTTACCATAGCAAAATAAAATAATCAAAACAACTGCTATTAAATTTAACAAAAACGTAAATGAAAGCAATCTCGAAAGTGTAAGTGTTTCGTTAATGCGATTAGCTTGTTGATTTAGACGAGGCTTTTCCCAGTTGTCCACTGAGGAGTGGACTACACACTCGTAGACTATCTACTACACTCTAACGTCCCGAGCCAAACGCTTGCTCACGAATTAAAGCTTAGCTCCACCCAAAAATAATCCAACACCCTCCGCAGGTAAAGTTTCGCCTGGTACCTCCTTTACCAAGTTAGAGCAACAACAGCCTGCGCCACAGACAGAACTAAACCTCTGATTAAGTCCGTCTGCGTAACAGCGGCGAAATCCTTGATCAGGGTCCCCACCTGTGTACCAGGATTTGAGTACGCGCCGTGATTGGCCTGTTAAAAAAGCCATTGTCGATTTGTCAATCAGGTTGAAGAGAAATTCAAAGTGCATTTCCGGTAACTAGTTGGGTCCGTTGGGTGACGTCACTAGGCGCTATTAGAGTAAGTCTGCGGTGCACGCTAGCGAAACAAGAACGCATGCGAAAGCCCGATAAAGAATATCCCGACTTACTGTTCCTCGAACTTCGGTTCGAAAGTCTTGATAGCTTCTGGCTTACGCGCTTGTAAGGTCAAATGCTTTCTGCTCAAGCTCGCGTTGTAAATATCGTTTAGTCTTGACAAAAGGGTGCCGTGAAGCTCCTGTTTTAAAGAAATAAAAAAGTTAGAGAAGTGACCTGGACACCTCAGTAGCAATTTCAATAAGTGTCAAAAATAGTTACAGTCCTGCATCGTTGACTGGTTGAGAAATCTCATGCCATTTTCTCAGCCAATCCCACGCGTGCATTTCTGTGTCTCTGATTGGTTAACAAATCACGTGCGATTTCTCAGCCTATCAGAGATATGATACTTTCTCGACGTGTTTTCCCACGCCTAAGCATCAGTGCGTCACTGATTGGTTAAAAAAATCCCATGCCACTTTCTCAGCCAAGTTCAAAAGAGCAAGGAAAATTTGTCGTCGTGTTTTCACGTCCCATAAAACGTCATATTAGCAACTTTCGCACCTGTAGTTGGGCTGTCGAAGTTAAAGAAATTTACTTCAAAAACTCATTAATAATTTATACGGAAAAAAACAAAAGACATTAATGTTTAACGTGTCTTTATATCTGATAGAGACACGGCTAAACTGTACGTCTATTTTTTTTTAGATCAAAATAATCTAAAATCTAAATATTACAGCAAGAATGAGTTGATCTATATCAAAGATTTTAAGGCCGTGCAAAAAACTCGCAGTCGTGTATTATCAGGTTTAAAAACTCGAGGCGAAATACACACCCGCTCGTTTTTCAAACAGTGTAAAAGTGTGATGTCCGCGCAGAGTTTTTTTTGCCTATAAAAGCAATTGTTTTTGACGTTCTCGTTCCCGTATTTGTCAAGATTGCTTAAACTCCATATTGGGTGTGCTGGAGTATGCGTGCCCTGTTTTTACAGTTGACGTTTTCATTTCCATCGTCACGGTCGTTTTAGTATCCCCAATTGAAGCTGTGAAAGGAAACGTTACCTTAAATGGGGAAGGATAAAGGTTCACGGGTATTCTGCAAAATAAAACAGCAAATAAAACAACCTTAAGAGACCACTTTACAACAGGGTTCGTATAGGCTTTTTGGATCCACAATTGAAGACTTTTTCCATTTCCAAAACAATCATTTCTTTTTTCCGGACTCAAGGATATCAAATAGGTGACCAATAGAGCCAATAGAGAACTGGAAAAAGGCAGGAAACTTAAGCTTTTTCCATGATGAACTACAAAAGTACAGTTACCACTGTGCAATGCGGATACAAGAGAGTTCTGAATGTTCTCAGTCTATGATTGAATGTCTTGGCTGCGGGCAAGATTCGACCACGAGGAAAAATTCACTTATTATGAAGCACTTGTTGTAGCTCTGGAAAAAAATTGCAGAATTTTTGCACTTTTTCCAGACGTTATTTCTATTTTTACCCATTTTCCAGATCTTTGAAATTGGTTTACAAATTTCAAGACTTGTTCAGGAATTCAGGACTCTAAACGAAACCAGTAACAAAATCATTCATTAAAGGTTAAAGAGAAAAGAAAATCATGTGTGAATCTCCGATGAAAAACTTCTGGTTTTTGAATTGACAATGCATTACGTACCTCTGCAGGTGTTCTTTAACTGGCGCAAATATCTCTACACTTGCGGGGAGGTCTTGGTACATGTCGACAAATTTGTTCAAGGCAGACAGGCAATGATTTAACGCGGAAATCCTGAAATTAATACAAGTAGCAAGTAAGCATCGGCTTGATCGCCATACAGCTCATTTGCCGAACATTGATAAAGTTCGACTTTGGGGCTATTTTGGCGCAACTTTGGAAGCACGCCACTGATTCAAACGGCGTACTTGGGTAGAAAAACAAAACAAAAATTCTACCAGTCAAAAGATATCATTCTGAATTCCGTGTCGGATAGTGCGACAGCCTTTGCCGCGATAATAGTTACGTGCCGAAGAAAAACTACAGGCTATGCTCACACTATACGAGATTGCTTTTCGTGCCGACATGAAAAATAATCTGGTATAGTTTTTGGCGGCACAAATCGTTCAGACTCATTGCCATCGTGCCGGCGCGGTTGGCCGAGAGGGTTTGTTGAACTTAAATCCCAGTCCTCACTCCTGAATATACTTCCGTCTTAGTGGGTTCCAGTCCTCGCTCCTACTTATTTACTTCCGCGACGGGCCGATAGGTCTTCGTACAGCATTAAAGAATGGCACAATACCTATCCGATATGAGACGCACCACTTTCTAGATCGGCGGGGCGCAGCCTCGCTCCGTCACAGAAATCGCGCCAAAATCACCGTTCTTATGTGTGAACAGAATCCCTACTGGTATGATTTTCGGGGCGGCGCAAAAGGTATTCGGTATAGTGGAACATGGCCAAAAACTACGTAAGATTCGAAAGCCGCTATACTTCCATACCTTATTAGGGACCTTAAGATCCGACAACGGCGACGGCAACGGGAACGCCACAAAAGCAATAGGTTTAATTAGCAAAACAACAATTTTGCACGTGCATCACGCTTTTTTGTACATTTCTTTGTCGTCACTGCACGACTACGACGTGAAAATGCCTCATTTCACGATGTACAGAGGAAGTACACAAGCGACGACGAACTTTCCTCTATCTTTCTGAACTTGAATATGGTTCTTAGGAATTCAACTTTAGGAGTAATCGCGATGAAGATTGAAAGAACGCGAATTTCACTTTTTGAGCGACGTTTTCTCTGCCGTCGCCGTCCTCGGATCTTAAGGTCCTTATTATTAAAAAAAATACGGTTCGGAACGTTAGTTGTGTGTACTTAAAGCTGGTCTAAGAGGACGTGTTTAATAACTGAAATGTCATGCAACAATTGTATGGAAGGCTTCTGGCAACTAAAATATTTAGTTAAAATGCTATCTTGTGGACTTGTCTTTACTTTACCTGACTTCATCTGTTGTCAGTTCAGCTTCTGAGACCTCTCCAAGGGTCTTTGTTATTGGTAAAGGTTTCACAACCAAGGAGCTAAAAGATAAAGAAACCTTTGCAATTTGTTTGATGACAGCCGTTATCAAATCGTTAAAACGTTTTATTCACTAAACTATAATAACATTACATGGTAGCATAATAACATTATATTGATAAAGATGTTACAACACGTATAAGAACATTACGTTGTCCATATCACCAATGATTCTGCCCAGGAATCATCGCTGGCATGGAGGAGAATTTGTGGCGCGTAGAACGGTTTACTAGCCCATGTGTTAACGAGCAACACGATGGCGATTGTTTCAGACTCCACTAAAACGTCCCTCGTGCTACCGAGAGGATGGTTGCGGAAGAAAAGCTGGAATAAATAAGTTTGATCTCAACGTAAGAGACCTAGGAAGGACACGTGATATACAAAAAGGAAGCATACATATACATGCTTTCATTTTCAAGATGACGGTGTCTGGTAGACAGTCGGTCAGGGAAAAAGAAGCAATCCCAACTAATTACAAAGAGTCTACAGATTGGCGGCGCCAAAATAGAGATCTTTAAATAAGAAGACGACATTTGACTCAAGGTTTTTTCGCCTATTCTCAAAAAATAGACACCCCGGAAAGCTTCATTGAATTTTTTTTTTTTTTTCACATAAAAGTTAACACGGTTGTTTTTATTGAAGGAGGTTACACCCTCCTCTCGGTCGCAAAATGATAAAATTTTTAACATTTGATAACTTGTTTCCCTAAATCTCGGCCAAAATAACGATGGTTCACGCGCGCGCACTACTTAGTATTGAGAAAATCTCGTTCTCTCAGTAGTCCTCGTCTTAGAATCGTAGAAACGTCTCTGATAAATCTTGAATCCCACAACAGTAGTAGCCATTTTAGTGGGGTCGATGTTGTATCGAAATGTACTATGGGACTGTTTCGCAAAAGGAAAATTGACCCACTTTCCTGTGCAACTTCGTCATAGAGACGTACCTTTGGATTCGAGGACGAGAACGACTACGATTACGAGATTTGCCTTCAACTTTTTTCGCGTATTTTTGTCAAGAAGGAGACACCCCAGAAAGCTTCACTTTACTTATTCTTCACCAAAAAGCTAGCTCTGTTATCTTTACTAAAGGAGGTCAAGCCCTCTTCCGCTACCAAAATGACGAAACTTCTAACACTTGATAACTTGATTCCGCAACTAAGACATTTTCCCTAAAACCCGTAGTAGAATGACGACGACTATTTCCCGCCAAAATGACGCTGGTTCATATGCGCGCACACCTCTTGGTCTAGGCTCAATCTCCAGCCTTGGGTGTCTTGATGCGCCCGCGTTACTTCCCTCCCGCGGGAATACCGCGGGCGCATAGAGACACCAAAGGTTGGAGACTGAACCTATACTTAGTATTGATCGTTTTCGTAGTCGTCCTAGTCTTAGAATCTAAAAGTCTGTGATAAATCTTGAACCTCACAACAGTACTGGCCCATCCTTGCCATCCGTAGCAACGGACGACAGGAAACAGTTTCAATGCCTAAATATAGTCTTCAATGACTAAGGTGGGACATTTTTTTGGAATTCAATCGATGCGAAGACACCTTTTAGCTTTTTAAAAATATCGCAAATAGCTTGACGTAACCCCTTTAAATTCGGCAATCATTTCAATGGACGAACAAAAGCCTGGGAGATGCTTTACTAACCTGGCATCTGACTGAAGTTTGAGAAGATCACGCCATTTAGTACTCTCTTTAAACGGTAGTACGAGTTGAGCTGTAAAACAGNGGTGTCTTGATGCGCCCGCGTTACTTCCCTCCCGCGGGAATACCGCGGGCGCATAGAGACACCAAAGGTTGGAGACTGAACCTATACTTAGTATTGATCGTTTTCGTAGTCGTCCTAGTCTTAGAATCTAAAAGTCTGTGATAAATCTTGAACCTCACAACAGTACTGGCCCATCCTTGCCATCCGTAGCAACGGACGACAGGAAACAGTTTCAATGCCTAAATATAGTCTTCAATGACTAAGGTGGGACATTTTTTTGGAATTCAATCGATGCGAAGACACCTTTTAGCTTTTTAAAAATATCGCAAATAGCTTGACGTAACCCCTTTAAATTCGGCAATCATTTCAATGGACGAACAAAAGCCTGGGAGATGCTTTACTAACCTGGCATCTGACTGAAGTTTGAGAAGATCACGCCATTTAGTACTCTCTTTAAACGGTAGTACGAGTTGAGCTGTAAAACAGAATGGTTGGTTACTCTTGAAGGTATAAGCGAATAATTTCAAGAAGTTTGAAAGGAAGCTTGCATTACAGCTATGGACTCGCCACTTTAGAAACGAGAAAGGAAACTGGGATGAGTTAACTTTCACAAAGACTTCTGGGACTTTTCAGTCTGGGACTGTTACTAAGCACAGGTTTAAAAAAAACTGGCCAGTAGCTGACCGGCGCCTCCCCAGTAACCATCCCAGACACAATTGCGGGACGTATTTCGGCTTCAGTTCCCTTCTTGTTTCTAAAGTGGCGAATTGGTTGAAGCTACTATTTAAAGAGAAACGAAGACAACATTAATTGATTTATTTACAAAACTGGCTGTCTGTCATTCCCCATGGCTGAGTACTGTAGCTAACAGACAAACTGACTGCCTCCTGTACGTGACCGACCGTCTGACTAACTAGATAGCGCTTCATCGATAACAGTTGTTTTTACATTATATACCTGACTGCCTATGGAAAGACAGTATGCCTTATCAACTTGAAGGACAAAGCAAAAAAACGTTGAATAAACCAAAAAGGGAGAGTGGTTGCTCACCTTACCCTCATTTTCAGACGGTAAGAATAACAAAGCTTACAGGAACTACATTCCCGCTGCGTAAGTTTTTGGTTACTTACGAGTGCGGCCTTCTTTGCTGGATCCCAGAAATAGAATACCACATAAGAAATTAATAGCTTCTGGTGCAAGTCGCTTTGATAAAGATATATACTGCAAAACATAAAAGAAAACACATTTAGTCAAGTCTCTTAATCGCGTCACCGTTAGAGATGATAGGGTTTGTGAGATCAAAAGAAGATGAAGCACAGACGGGCTAAAATGGTTCACAGAGGCAGGGCTTTCCAAGGTTTGGTAGAATACAGCACCTAGAAGCATTGCTAGTCTCCCTGGATGACATGTTACTCCATAGTGGGGTTATCCCAGGTGTATTTCCCCGGTACACATTTATTATACCAAGGTGAAGTGAGACAAAGTGGAGTGAAATTTTTTTCCTAAACTGTTCACAGTGCCCTATGATTTTTCTCGTAATATCGTCGGAATCCAGTGTTCTCCCTAGGATCTTGGGAAGGCCAGCGGGTATCTTGACTGTGATTTTTAACGGTGTTTATACGAAGCCTGTTGTAGCCTGAATAAAAATTTATCGTCTTGGGAACTTCGTTTAAGTTGTAAAAAAAGATCTCGATTTGCTATGACAAGGTTTTCGTCTTTGTTCCGCGCGTCTTGGGTTGACTGCGAGCGAAATAATTTCCTTTAGTACTCTATGTTTAAAGCTCCTTAAAGGGCCATTCAACAAAATGAATGCATCGCTGCAGGTTTCAACATTTTCATCCAACGATAAACCACTTTTATAACCAATATGTTGCGAGAAAATACACAAATGAAGACACCAGACAATGGTTTATTCCCTCTTTTGAGTGATTTTGTCTTTAACATACCTAGCTCTAAATGTCAACATAAGCTTCCGCCCGGTTGAATCTTTGGTTTTTAAGCAGGGCGGCAACAACGTTCCAGTGAATTAAGCCAGGCGGTCCGCCTAGCCTTAAGTACCTAGGGAGAACACTGGAATCAAGCACCTTCCCTTACGGGCGGCCATCTTGGCTTCAAATGTACCGAGTGTAGCCTGGGAATGTGTATCAGATCTACTTAGGGGGAACGGGCGGGGGATGGTCCCTTCCCCCAACCGCCATGAACCCCGGGGCCCACTCTCTCAGTACATTTGAAACGAAGATTGCCGTCCGTAACGGTAAGCGCACGATGTCGACGATCTTACGAAAAAAAAAGGGACTGTGGTTAGTCTGTTTTTTCTTAGAAAACGTCGCAATGGCAGGACCAAGTCTGAAGGTACTGGGGCCAAAGGAAATACTTTCACTCCCAGAGCTAACGATGGACACTTGTGAGGTAGTTTTAACCTTTGAGTCTGTGGATGAAATCTTATGGTGTTGCTATCCAAATGAAACCTCTTCAGTAGTTCTTTCACACGGTACTATTTATTTACTATGTAGTTCTAACGTTTGATTCTGTGGATGAAATCTTATGGTGTTACCATTCAAATGAAACCTCTTCAGCAGTACTTTCACATGGTACTATTTATTTAGTACGTAGTTCTAACGTTTGATTCTGTGGATGAAATCCTATGGTGTTACCATTCAAATGAAACCTCTTCAGCAGTACTTTCACATGGTACTATTTATTTAGTACGTAGTTCTAACGTTTGATTCTGTGGATGAAATCCTATGGTGTTACCATTCAAATCAAACCTCTTCGGCAGTTCTTTCACATGGTACTATTTATTTAGTATGTAATTCTAACTTTTGAGTCTGTGGACGAAATCCTATGGTGTTACCATTCAAATGAAACCTCTTGAGCAGTACTTTCACATGGTACTATTTATTTAGTATGTAGTTCTAACTTTTGTGCCTGTGGATGAAATCCTATGGTGTTACCATACAAATGAAACCTCGTCAGCAGTTCTTTCACATGGTACTATTTATTTACTATCTAGTTCTAACGTTTGAATCTGTGGATGAAATCTTATGGTGTGACCATTCAAATGAATCCTTCCCCCCACTACTTTCTCATGGTGCTGTTCTCAAGGTGCTTAGTATGTAGTCTTAACTTTTGAGACTGCAGACGAAATCCTATGGTATGACCATTTCAATTAAACTTCTTCAGTAGTACTTTTACACGGTACTATTTATTTAGTATGTAGTCCTAACGTTTGAGACTGTGGACGAAATCCTATGGTATGACCATCTAAATGAAACCTCGAAAGGCAGTACTTACACGAGGTACTGTTTGCCTTTTTAAAATTTTGCAAAATAAAAGTTTGTTTTCTTTTTATAATTTTGACTTTGGCTTCTTGATTGAGTGAACAGGTTAAGAAACCTTGTCAATTTTGTATTGTTAGCTAAAGAACAATACACTGTAATAAATGCACAGATACATATGATCATATGATTAGGGTGGGGCAAATGCGTATAGAGATAAAGGTAACAAGGAGACAAGTTTTTAGTTGATCACTAGTAGTGGGGACATGAGTAAAACAAGAGAGGTTCATAATAAGAAAAAAGTAAATTAAAGTAACGGACACAAACCTCAAGACACAAATCACAGACAAAAAGACCTCTGAATACGTCTCTCATACATCGCACAGGACTCTGGAAGAAAGAGGGTTCAAAACGACGCAAGGTTCAGCCCTTTAATACCAAAAAATAACAAGAGAAAACGGCATAAGTTTACTTTTACGTGTAAACAAAGATGCCTATGTAAAGCAACTACTTTAGGACAGTTCATCGCCTGACTGTCTTTTACTGCTTTTACTCCCCCCGAAGACAAGAAAGGAAGCATGGTTTTACACTAGATTTGCTGCGTGCGGTGTTTTGCGATGTTCTGCGTTACATTTTCATTGATTGGCTAGTGATAATTCATGTATTAGCCGCGCGTTTGCATACCATGCTGCTTTTGTACGGGTACGACGGCTACTTGGCTTCTCTCAAGTGTCAGATCTTTGTGTATCCTTTTGTGTATTTGAATGAAGCCTTATGAAGCTTTATTTAATCTCGGGTTTGATGAGGTTGGTTAGACCTCTAGCAAAAATATGCTAATAAGCCGAGGGAAAAAAAAAACAAGAAAATAAAACACATAAATAAAATAATAGAGAAAGAAAGGGTAATCCAAAAACGTATTTACAGTATAAAGCCTAAAATTAAGTGACATAGTACGTCACATAGTATTTCAAGGCGTATTTTGCATGCGGAGTGGATAGTGCTTTGTTTGCTCGTTCTCTGGTCAAATCAAGCACAATACAGTATCAGCTGCTTCGCCGCCATAACCCGCTGTGTGTGCTTTACTTAAATACTCCGTAAAATTC